GCCAGGAACCGTCCTTGTCTACTGCTGCATGTCCTGGAAAGATGGTCTTCGCATCCACCACTTTTCCTTCTTTTCTACACTGAAAAGGAGTGATGGCCATGCAAGATGGTGGCCACCACAGGCTCTGGAGTAAAAGTCCCTGTTGGAAAAGCTGGAAGAAGTCCAGAAAGGAGTAGGCAAGGACACAGTTAGCCAGGGCCTAGAGGACAGTGAAGACGTGATACTTAAAAGGTAGATAAGAATGATCATTGGCTCTTCAAGAACAATTTATGAAAAATGAATATTGTATTAGTCAGGGTTCTCTAGAGTCACAGAAATTATGGAACAAATCTCTCTCTCTGAGAGAGAAAAAATATATAAAGGGAATTTATTAGACTAACGTACAGGCTGCAGTCCAACTAATACAACAATGGCCAGCTGTGAATGGAAAGTCCAAGAATCTAGTAGTTGCTCAGTCCCACAAGGCGGGTGTCTCAGCTGGTCTTCTGTGTATGCTGGAATCCCAAAGAGGTAGGCTCTAATGCCAGTGAAGGAATGGATGTGTGTAGGTGATATTTTATTTGTGCTGAAATGCAGTAATATTTTATTTGTATGTTAATAAATAAAGCTTGCCTGAAGATCAGGGGGAAAAGGCCAGCCATTTTAAATAAATAAGAAGTCAGGCAGCACATGCCCTTAATCCTTTAGCAGGCAGGATCTCTGTGTGTTCAAGGCCACACTAAGGGAACAGAGCCATGTGTGGTGACATGCCTTTAATCTCAGTACCAACCACAGAGGCCTGGAGGTCTGTACAGACAGAAAGTGACAGAGCTGTGTAGGAAGAGGAAGTGAGGAGGCTGGGCTAAGAGAGCCAATGAGAGGGCAGAACAGCAAGGCAATAAAGGCGTGGGTAGACAGGAAGTTATGTGCGTTTGGAAGCTGCAGAGTTGTTGAGGTAAGGTTGGCTGGTGGCTTTCCCTGTTTCCCTGATCTAAGGATTTCACCCCTATATTTGGCTCCATATTTTTTATTTAATAAGACCATTTAGAAATTCGTCCACAGATGTGCTGATAAAATGAGGGCAAGAAGGGTTCCTTCTTCCATCGTCCTTATGTAGGCTTCCAGCAGGAGGTGTGGACAAGATTAAAGGGATTATTAATAAAAACAAACCCAGAGCCAGGTATTGGGGTGAACGCTGAAAGATCACAGACAGAATAGGCCACAGCTAACCTCACCTCACCAACTTCTCAGCCGATCCTGTTTCCTCAAACTGGAAGCCTCTGAGTCTTCACCTGAATGGATCTCAGCTGAACTGCTGCTAGAAGCCTAAAAGCTTAACCAGCTCTAGTTCCCGGTTTTCACGCCTTATATACCTTTCTGCTTCCTGCCATCACTTCCTGGGATTAAAGGTGTGAGTCACCATGCCTGGCTATTTCCAGTGTGGCTTTGAACTCAGAGATCCAGGCAGGTATCTGCCTCCAGAAGGCTAGGATTAAAGTCATGTGTGCCACCATTTTCTGGCCACTGTATCTAGTGGCTGTTCTGTTCTCTGACCCCAGATAAGTTTATTAAGGTGCACAATATATTGGGGGACACAATATCACCACAAGCACTCATGTTAATTATAATCCTCATTTCTACAACTAGTCACGTGGTGGAAGGAGAGAAATGATTCACAAAGTTGTCCTTTGACTTCCGACCTTGCCCCTCCCAAAGCAAATATGCATCTAATTGCACGTCTGCAGCACACACACAAAGCAAAGACGTTAGGGCGGCGGACCTGGCCACCCTCTGGCCGCCTCTTTGCGCCATCTTGGTGCCAGTGGAGGCCTTCTGGGAATAGGGACTTCTAAAAGGCAAATATGTCTGGAAGGCTTTGGTGCAAGGTCATTTTTTGCTGGCTATAAGCGAGGTCTCTGGAATCAGAGAGAGCACACAGCTCTTCTTAAAATTGAAGGTGTTTATGCTCGAGATGAAACTGAATTCTCCTAGGGCAAGAGATGTGCTTATGTGTATAAAGCAAAAAACAACACAGTGACGCCTGGAGGCAAACCGAACAAAACCAGAGTGATCTGGGGAAAAGGAACTCGGGCCCATGGGAACAGTGGCATGGTTCATTCCAAACTCCGAAGCAGCCTTCCTGCAAAGGCCATTGGACACAGAATCCGTGTGATGCTGTACCCTTCCCGGATTTAAACTAATGAAAAGTAAATAAACAAAAGTGGATTTGTGAAAAAAAAAAAAGTAAAGATGTTAGTTAATAAATGTAAATTAAAAAAAAATCCCTTTCCTTAAACAGAAAATGCAAAACTGAAAACAGAAGAACAGCTTTAAAGTTTCATAGGAAACCGAGCCGTAGACTCTGGCTCGCATTTTTGTCTGGAGAATGCCGCCCGGTAGAAAAACACGAACCCTCACCCAACCGCGGCCTGGGGTAGCAGTGCGTACCGAAGATGGCTTTAGCTGGAGATGGCCCGTCCTAAGAGGGTAACATCGGCAGGCTCTGTTCTGTAACACCGCGGCGCCACCACACGGAGAAATCTGGAGTGACCAGCAGTGGGCGGTGCCTATCAGGCAGGGGTGGTGCTGGGAAGTTGCTACCGGTGTCCGAGGCTGGGTGATCCGGTCTTCCAGGATACCGGTGCCCGAGGCTGGACGATCTGAGCCATGCATGGTTCTCCAGGATCCGGGCAGACTACGGCTCGCTCCGATGCAGTTTTAGTGCCATTTTTTTGAGTATCCACAGGGGGCCCTACCTCCCACTGATGGGCTGCTGCTGGCATTAGTCCTGGCCCCGGGAGCTAGGGTCAGACCAGAAATGTTTGTATCACCAGTTATGAGACACCGAGGGTATCGCTGAAGAAGATCTATGGTGGGCCACCTTTGGAGATGGGGTTTTCTCACTTCAGCAAGACATTTTTAGCGTGGATAAGAAAGACGTATCTGTAAGGGTGTGTAGTTTAAAATGCAGGAGGCGGTCGGCGCCGTTGGAGGTCAGAAGAGGGTTTCCGATCTGCTGGATCCGGGGCTACAGATGGCTGTGAGCCACTGTGGATCTCGGGAACTGAACTCAGGTCCTCTGCAAGGCAGAGAAGTGTTCTAAATCACTGATCAATCTCTCCGGTCCCAGCTGTATTTATTTTTATTTATTTTAATTTAGGAAATGGAAGTACAAAGACAGTGTGCATGCATGTATGTGTGCACGGAGGGCGGAGATGACCTCGGCTGTCTGGTACCATCTTATCTCCCTGAGACACGGTCTTTCTCTCAGAATCAAGAATGGTTCTCTTGTCTTCACCCCATAGAGTGCTAGATTTATAGAAGTGTGCTCTTATCCCAGAGGATTCCCAGAGAGCTTCTGGTCTCCGGCTAATGTAGCAATTTCTGTTTTGGTTTTTCAAGACAGGGTTTCTCTGTGTAGCCCTAGCTGTCCTGGAACTCGACTTGTTGACCAGGCTGGCCTTGAACTCACAGAGATCTGCCTACCTCTGCCTCCTGAGTGCTGGGATGAAAGGTGTGTGCCACCACTGCCTGGTTTATGTTGTAGTTTCAAAGAGTAGGTTTTAACACCAGCAAAGGAATGCCTCAGTAGCAGAATAGATGAACCTTCCAAAGAGAATGAAGGCAAGTAGGTAAAAGGCAAAAACTTCCTTCATCTACATCCCTTTATGTGGCCTGCCACCAGAGGCTGGGGTCCTGATTTAGGGCAGGTCTTCTCATCTCTTATGATTCTATCAAGAAAATCCCTCACAGGTGGGCCCAGCTTCTTAGGTTTTAGTTGATTCCAGATGTAGTCAGATGGACAAGTACAATTTGCCATGACAATGGGCTAATGTTTCTCTTATGACCCTTTTTCCTCAAGTTTCACGCACATTTTTTCTGCCACTGTTCTCTCTTAGGGACATTTGTTCTGTAACTGATTCCTTTGTACATAATGACTTCTAGATTTTATTTTTTAACTGAATGTGATCTTGGCTTAAATGTCTCTTACAGGAGTCTTCCCCAAGCTGGATATGGTTTTCCTGTTTGATATGCTCATAGCAGAGTTAAAGAAGTAAATATCAGGGACTGTTTAAAGTATGCGGAGTTATGTCACCATCGTAGTGCATATTTGGGTCCTCAAAAACATATCCAGGAAATGACTTTTCCTTCCTTTGCCAACATTGATGAACGTATCCTTACAGTCACAGTTGTATGCTTCCCGCAGTTGTATTTTATAGTAGCATGGGTTTATAGCCCCGGACAACTATTTGTAGCTCAACCCATTTGAAGAATCTGTCTTTGTGTTTGTGACAACGAATACCAGGCTTGTGATAGGAACAAGAAGATGTTGTGGGGTACTCACCAGAGAAGACTGTTCAGACATGGGTTTAAACCAATAGAAAGTATTAGCTGGCTGGTGACTACACTGGGTGCTCGGGATCCCCCAGTGTAACTCGAACCTTCCTCAGGGTGAGCTTTTTAGCACAAAAAATCATGTTCTGGGTTGATATACCTCAGTTAACAAGAACAGCTAGCCAGAAGCAGAACCATAGAAGCCGCCAGACCGTAGCACATTTTGAGACTTTCCCCCGAGCTATACAGACTTTTTATGGATCAGGCCTCTGTTTTAGTTTTGGCAGGTGGTGCTGTCTACAGGCTGAGGTGTACAGCCTGCATGGTCCTTCCAGCACGGAGTCAGTTGTGCTAAGGTCTGAGGCCCTGTTACGAAAAGTGGTGTTCCATGTTGAAGAAACCCCACCTGCAAAGACATTGAGGTCTGTCATGTGAGAAATCTGCCTTAGTGAGGTGTGAACCCAGTCACAGCCCGTCTGTCTGTCCCTTTAGCAAGGGACAGGCTGCAGAATGTTTGTCATTCTGGTGAGTTTGAGGACTGGATCTGTTCGGTTGTAAGAATCAAAAGTTGGGTCATTGTAATAGTGATGACTTTTTTTTTTCCCTCCACTTGTGTTTTTTCTTGCCAGTCACTCCTGAAGCCATTGGCTTCCTGTCCGCCATAGGGGTCTTTGTTGTCCTTCTGGCTGTCCTCGCCCTCTTCATCAACAAGAAGCTGTGTTTCGAAACTGTCAGCGGCCATCTGCATCTGGAACAGAGAGGGAAGAAGAGAAAGCAGTCTTTGAGAGACAAGACTGGGGGCCACACAGGACCGGGTAAGCACCCCGTTTTATGTTCTTCTGAGCCAGGCAACCTTGCTGCTATTTGAAGAGTTTAAAAAGTGGCACTCTTTCCAAGGTGGCCCCATAAGGATTCACAGCTGAGCTGGCCAGTAATAGCTCTGGTAGACAGAATAATGGAACCACCAAGGATGCCTTAACTTCCCAGTGTCCTTAGGGCTGATGGGGAAAAACTTACCTCCACTTCCCATCCTTTCTGCTCTTTAGACCCTTAGTTTGAAGAAACCCCTCTTCTTCCAGTAATCCTGAGGGAGGAAAAGTTCATTGACAAGAATCTGTAAGTATTTCATCTTCATGATGGAATAAAACTGACTTGTTGCTCCTTTAGCTGTTTTTGAGATATTCGGTGTTTGAGGACCATGTTCACTTTGGAGCACAGAAGTCCCCTTTCCAGAGAGAAAATTTTAGTTTCCATATCTAACTCTATTTGATGAGGGGGAAGTCATATGAAGAAATGACTTCTTGCTCTTGAAGGACATACTCTTTCAGTTGCTTAAGTATAGAATTTGGTGATGAAGGACACCATCACAGGGTCCAGGTTGTCACCCAGGTAGATTAGCCATGGAAAGGCAGCTTTCTTGCTCTTAGTAGCCAGATTCGCACCCTCCTCTCTTTATTAGAACTGGTCAAGGAGCAACTTTGTATGCTCTTTGGGGTAGGTCTAAGCCTGTGAGAATACCCTCCAATTCCAAGGGAGCTGTGGACCAAGCAGAACATTTGGCTCACTGATAGAGTAGCTTCTGTAGCCATGGATAGTTCAGCTTTATTGATAGTGGGGACATATCTTAGAAATTTAAGCAGGCCAATTATCTATTGTTTCATGACAGATCACTCAAAACTTAAAAGCTTATATATTTATCTAAACTTTTTGTAGTTTTAAAAACACGGGAGTGGCTTAGTTGGGTGATCCAAATCAGGGTCTCTTATGAGGCTGCAGGCAAGTGAGCAAATGAAGGTGGAAGTTTCTGTCCCACCAGCAACTCCCAAACACCCAATAGCTGTTTCCCAAATAACCACACAGAAGCTTATGTTAATTATAAATGCTTGGCTGGTAGCTCAGTCTTATTGCTAACTAGTTCTTACACCTATAATTATTATCTATGTTTAGCCATGTAGCTTGGTACCTTTCCTCAGTATGACTGTCTCATCTTGCTTCCTCTGCGTCTAGCTGGCAACTCCTTGGCCATTCCTCTTCCCAGAATTCTCAGTTTGGTTGCCCTACCTGTACTTCCTGCCCGGTTACTGGCCAATCAACATTTTATTAAACCAATCTGAGTGACAACTCTTTATAGTGTATAAGAGGATTATTCCATAGCATACCCCCTTTTTGTCTAATTAAAAAGGAAAGTTTTAACTTTAACATGGTAAGATTATATACAAAACAAACAATTAAGTAAGAATTACAGTAACACTATCTATTTGCATTTGGTAAAATTAGAGAACATATTTAATTATCTGTCTTATCTTGGTGAGTCTAAAGTTTTGTATCTAATTTACTTTCTATTGTAACTAAGGAAAACTATAATTATAACTATTTAGTCTTCAACTCCATCAGAGACCCCAGAAGGGTAAAATGTTACCTAATGACAGGGACCTCAAGCTGCCTGGACAGTCACCCAAGGTTCCTCTGGCAATGTTGGGGCATCCAACTCTGGTCTATAGGCCTGAAATGTCTGTCAGATTTTCCTGTGAAGCAGCGAATTCTGATGGACTGCCCTACCTTGTCTTGGTGAAGTTTGGCAGTCACCTTGCTCGTATCTTGCTGGTCCAGTTTGGACAGTAACTATCTGCAATTGAGACAAGGGCAGTTTCTTTGCCCACATGACTAGCTTTTGCCATATGGAGTGTCTTCAATGCCCATCATCCTTTTTGAAGTAATTGGTGCTGCCAGGAGCAGATGTGTTTCACTGTTGAGAAAAGTCTAAGTTCTTAAAACATTTTAAATGCCATTTCTATAGGTCTTTGAAGTGTTTGAAGATTGCCTATCTTTCTGAAATATATCTCTGTATGACCTTGAAAACATACCTGAGTATAAGTTTGCTATTATAGATGACTATTAATCTGTATTTCTTAATTATATATTACATTTTTAAATGAGCTGCATAAACACAATACCTTAAATAAAAGTAGAAATATACATACAGTATAATAAAATTAATTTAACATTTGAATCAATAAACCAAAATCCATACTAATATAAAATATGTAAGGTTAATAGTTGTTTTTTGGATTAAAGTAGATTCAATAGTCTACCTTTTTATCCTATCATTTCTATGTCCCCCCTTTTCCTTTTCAGGATAAGATCCCTGAATCTACTCTCCTTTGTTTAGCTTTTTTCCTGACCATTATCCATAACAATTTATAACCAACTCCCATTAAATGATAACAAATACCTAATAACCCATTTTTGGGAATGTGTGTATAGTTTTCTATGCTACTTCCTGATGACTGAGGGCACTAGTAATTTTTGGGGGGCCCTGAGAAAATTTAGGGTAATTGTTAAGTCTTTGCTGGAATATTCCATGAGGCTGGATCATCTCAGTCAGCAGCCTGGAAGCTGTTCTGGATATTGGATCACTTGGGCCATGGTTTTCATTGGTGTCTTGTCCCCTTGCTCTGAGAATATATAAACTTTTAAAGGCAACATACATATCTATATTAGTACAAGTATAGATTGTCCATTGTATACAAGTCACCAAAGATGATTTTTTTTTTTTTCCGAGACAGGGTTTCTCTGTGTAGCTTTGCGCCTTTCTTGGAACTCACTTGGTAGCCCAGGCTGGCCTTGAACTCACAGAGATCCGCCTGCCTCTGCCTCCCGAGTGCTGGGATTAAAGGCGTGCGCCACCACTGCCTGGCTTGATTTTTTGTTTTATGTTTGAACAGGTAAAATACACATCGTATGTTTTATAGTTCTTCTAGGTTTATTTCTTTACATCTGTAACCAGATTTTTCAGGGGGTCTTCCTCAAGCAAACCTGATTTTTCTGAACCCAGAATGAATCCACAGCATCTCATTTCCTGTGGAAACAAAAATATAACCTCTACCCCAAAGTAATATATCTTTTGACTTAAATCTTGAAGTGAAGATAATTTAAAAGTATATAGGTTGGATTAATCCAACAACATTTATAATCAAATGTCTCTTAGCAGCTGTTGCTCCTTCCTCAGGTGTCAAACAACTCAAAGACAACACAACAACATACAGTGTCCAGACTCTCTGTGTATTTTCCATCTTTACATGGCTTTTTTTATATTACTTTACTCCCTTCTTAAAAGAACTTTACTATATTATTTTAAAACTATGTATCTCTTTTGCATGACTGTCTATGTCTTCTTTTTTCTCTCCCAAACCTATGTATATTTTTAAAATACACTGTGAACCATTTGCAAGTTTTTTATTTTAATCTGAATCTGTCTTTACTGCATATCTTTATCTTTTTCTGACCACATGAGTCTTTAAATTACTAAGCAGCATGGCTAGGACCACAGCAGCTGGCTCCACCCCATTCCTTGGCTTCCTGAGAGTCTAGCATCATGGTAGAGGTACTGGCAGGAGCCAAATATATTGTCTCCAACTTTAGGGAGTTTCTAGGTCCATGCTACCACTGAGTAGCTTGCTGCAGGCTCCTCAAAAATATCATACAAGTGTTTGGTAGCAGAGTCTTTTAAAAGAGCTGTGCATTTTTTTTTTAACCACTAATGCTGAGTCAGGAAGCCATCTCTTAAAGGAATCGTGCCTTGGCTTGCTGCTAGAAAACACCTACCCAAGAAAAAATGGTTACCAAGAAGCCAAGTTTGACTCTGTTTTTGTGTAGTTAGAATCCTTTTTCAAGCTTTTGTCAGATTTTAGATGGAAATGCCTGCCCCACCTTAGAATGCCATATGTAGGCAGAAGTTTCTGTCCCACCAGCAACTTCCAAATACCCAGCAGCTGCTTCTCAAATAATTAACTCAGAGGCTTGATATTACTTATAAATGCTTGTCCAGTAAGCTCAGGCTCATTACTAACTAGCTCTTACACTTAAATTAACCCATAATTCTTATCTATGTTTAGCCATGTGGTTTGGTACCTTTTCTCAGTATGACATTCTTATCTTGCTTCCTCTGCACCTGGTTGGTGACTCTCTGACTTCATCCTTCCACCTCCCAGAATTCTCAGTTTGGCTGCCCTGCCTATACTTCCTGCCTGGTTACTGGCCAAACAGCATTTTATTAAACTAATTCGAATGACAAATCTTTTTTTAAATTTTTGTTTATTTATTTTTTTAAACACTTTTTTTTTTGTTATTTTGAGACAGGGTTTCTCTGTGTAGCTTTGCACCTTTCCTGGAACTCACTTGGTAGCCCAGGCTGGCCTCGAACTCACAGAGATCCGCCTGGCTCTGCCTCCCGAGGGCTGGGATTAAAGGCGTGCGCCACCATCGCCTGTCGAGTAACAAATCTTTATAGTGTACAAGAGGATTTTATTCCACAGCAGGCAAAAAACACTTCTAGAGTGGCTGGAGGCTCAGTTCCAGTTTTATGGATATCTCCAGAACTCCTTGACTTTTCACAACATAGCAAGCAACTGTTTTCTGAGCACAAGACTAACAGAGAGTAAGGAGGAGCCACAGTTTCCTTTTACAACCTCATCTACAAAGTCACACATTGTCATTTCTGTTCCCTTCTGTTTTTCACTGACTCAAGTCTATGCCCAGGGGATTAGGAGTCAGGCTTCACTTTTGGAGGGACGGAGTATCAAGGAGTGTGTGAGCATGTTTTAAGTCACTGTGGAGTCAGTCATGGGGAAGGGTGCAGCTGTTGGGTGCTGCGGCTGTTGCCTTGCTCTTTTGAACTCCACTCGAGACATCTGACTCATCTTTACAGAATAGAACAGAATATTTTATGGAGTTTGCCATGTAAAAGCGGGGACTTCCAAATCCTTTAGCCACTACTGTCCCAGCTGGGTCTAGGTTAAGGGAGAAGACCAGGTAT